CTCTTAAAACAAAATATACAATGAATTTCACTAAAGCATTAAAAAATTCTTAAAACAAAATATACAATGAATTCCACTAAAGCATTAATAAAAATTCTTAAAACAAAATATACAATGAATTTCACTAAAGCATTAATAAAAATTCTTAAAACAAATTATACAATGAATTACACTAAAGCATTAATAAAAAATCTTAAAACAAAATATACAATGAATTTCACTAAAGCATTAATAAAAAATCTTAAAACAAAATATACAATGAATTTCACTAAAGCATTAATAAAAATTATTAAAACAAAATATACAATGAATTCTACTAAAGCATTAATAAAAAATCTTAAAACAAAGTATACAATGAATTTCACTAAAGCATTAATAACAATTCTTAAAACAAAGTATACAATGAATTTCACTAAGGCGTAATAAAAAAACACATTTGAAAAATATTAACCCCAGAATTCAGCCACAGAAGATGAGTTGAGAATAGTAAAACTGTACCCATTTTTAGCTAGGAAAAATTTTCTGGTGTTTTTTTTAAAATGTTTTTGTGCCAGGCGACAGTGCTGGACATTGAATGTCACTGTTGTCTCTCCTGTATGTGCAAACTGCAAGTGCTAGTGCTGTCACATAATGCTTTTTCATCACAGCCGAACACAAACACCTGTGGACCTTATCCAAGGTTCCTTCAAAGTCGCATTCGTTAGTGAATTGGTATTCCCATTGAGTCTGTGGCACACTCACCCAGGTTAGGGGTCACCCTTTTTTGTGTTCAGCCTAAGGTAGGATTTGAACTTGGATACTAATCATGGGTCTGATGTGACAAACCCTAAGAAACAACTAACTTTGATTATAACTGTCTGATTTCTTCATGGAAAGTTTTGAATTGCAATAGCGCCACCTAGAGGCAAAACTCTGTCAGTGACCGTTTTTCTTTGGATATGTTAATTACCATTAATTAGGTTAGTGATTAATTAGTGTTTAGGTTTAATTAGTTTTAAAACTGTTTATGAATATATTTATAAATGCTTGAAATTGAAAAATCGAATTCTTAGTGAAAATATTTTTCTAGGAATTCAGAGAATTCAGACATGTTGTTTCTACATATCGGTACTTTAACATTCCATGTGTTTCGTATATTCAGTTTCAGGCTCTGAGAAGTCGACTGCCACCAGGGAAAGTATGGAAGAAGGTTTTCGATAAGTATGTAGCCAGGATCATAATCAATATTGAATGGCTAGAGAAATATGAAAGCGAAATTAAGCGATTTCTGGATGAGAACACGTCACATTAGACCACACGTCCTAATGGATGTATACTTTTGTTTGTGAAATTTGCTGTTGCCTCAAACATTATTCACTAGGAAATATGTACATATTCGTATGCGTCATTTTGACCTACCCGGAAGTGGAAGTTTTGTCCACAGGAAGTTGTGCTCTATCTATTGTAGATCATAAGACCAGTGTCACCCAACCGCTTCCGCTGCATTTGTAGACTTCCCAGTTATATCGACCCGGCCACAAGATGCATACATTACATTCTTCACAGTTAGAGACAATGCAATGTCTCCATATCCCTATTTTTTGAAATAAAATCAAGAATATTCATAGACATCCCAGGCTATTATTAACTTATAATAATCCATATCTGACATTTTGTTATTATTTATTGCAATTTATGCAACATGTACTATTTGGCTAATATATATTCGTGGAACATACATATATATATTTTTTAACTTTTTTGGTGATAAAGTAAACATTCAACAAATGCTTTTCCTTGGGCTATTTTTAGAAATTTAAATTCAGGGATTTGGTTTGCTCTTTAAATTTTTACTTAATTGAATTTTATATTAAAAGTAAAATATGACAAAGGCAGACAGTGACGTTCCGTGATTAATAATGAAATCTATGCCTTGTGATATTATAAATATGATTCGACTACATCACTCTATGGTAATTTATCTATATATTGTTAGTATTGTGTTAGTATTGAGTTACATAAGTGGGAATCGAATACCCAACCGTAGAATACAATAAATAATCATGAACTTTTTAAACAGATATTCACTAAAAAATTAAAAATACAAATGAATTATTGGGTTGCCACAACTTGTATTAATAAATGAATTTATTCTTACTCCGATTATTTGATACGTATTTTGTATTAACATTTTAACATGTATTTCTTTGCTGGGCAGCTAATAAATGAAAAATTGTTACCCCTCACTTCTGTCGTATTATTTATTACGATCTTGATAATAATAACATACCATTATACATCTGTCATCGTAAAAAAGCAATTGGCAATATAATTTTGGGTTCATCTGTTGAATAGTTGTATATGATGTACTTTCCATCAACAGTCCTCTCGTAGGTATATTCACCTGGACTTGAAATCAAAGAAACTCCAAAATAAAGTTTCTTGATGTCCACCTTGAATTTGACTCTACGTGTAAACTTTCTACTAGATTATATGATAAAGAAGATGACTTTCATTTCATCATACTAAATTGCCAGCCTATTTATACTGCAGATGGTGTTTACACTTCCAGCATGTTATATAGCTAGAGATTGCACTGAATATGATGGGACATGTTATATACTGTTATATGTTATATATTTATATGCATAAATGTATGAAATATGGTGGGAGCTGCCATTAGGGCAGGTATGCTCTGATATACTACTAGTAGGGCAGAATATTCTGACCTGATATACTACCAGTAGGGCGGATTATACTATGCTATACTACCAGTAGAGCGGGATAAGCTTTTATATACCGTACTCCCCCGAGTATAAGACCACTCCTCTGTTTTGGACATTTACGAGTTGAGGGCATCCCTGAGTATAGGCCCAGGGTGTTTTTACCGGGCGTCGACGACATTTATTAAAATATGCATGTAAAAAGTGTATTTCATTGCATACAAATCATGATTGGTACGGTAGTTTGGTTCCAGGTTTTAAGAGAAAACTAATTAATAAGAGTGCACGGCGGGCGAACGCACGTGACGGAACATAGTTCGCACGTTTTCTATTATGTTATTTACTCGGGATAAACCCCGATGTTGCAATACTGAAATAATCCATATTTCATTCGAGTAGTAGTTTTTCAAACGGCAAAAATGTGATTGTCAAGTCGTGAAACCTGGTCACTGATCATCGTTTTTATTTCCCGAATAATCTTGTCAGATTTTGCCTATTTAGACTATCGTGAATGGGGTGTGAACGAGCAAACTATTCTTCGACCTGACTTGTTGGCGGCCGTGAAAGGGGTGAATACTTCCCTCACCCTCAGTTTACCTTTAGAAAATCGCGAATCAACAGCTTTTAGGGGAAAACGTCACTGTTTTTTGTCGAAATCAGTATTAACAGATCGCATTTTAACATCGCGGTAATTCACTTCTGCATTGCGTTGAAAAAAAAATACTTCGTCAATAATCGGAAAACTTCGACGGTATGACACATCATTTTCATTGGTTAACGAAAGAAGTGACCTGTTAGGTCAAAGGAAATTGTTCAGGTAAATTATGATGAAACCATGGCGGAAATCGAGACTTTGTATCGAGAGTTTTCCTACAGACCCTACCCATTTTTGCACCGTAAATTCAGACCGTATGTAAATTGTATTGTAATAAAATATTTGTATTTTTATGAAGTCAACATGTTTGTTTCTTCATTGTAAATAGTGTCGTTGAAATCAATGACGACTCGTTTCTCCTTTTTTTTCTCAAAAAAACGTAATATCCTGAGACCGGCGCTGTGAACGGAAAATGTAATTTAGATAATGTTTCGAGGTTGGGAAGATTGTTACAGTTTTAAACAGCAAAAAATTATTTTTTCTGAGGTTGTCCTCGAGTATAAGCCCACCCCTTATTTTTCCCCATTTTACATGTTCAGGCCCCCTGGGCTTATACTCGGGGGGAAGTACGGTACTACTAGTAGGGCATGATATGATTTGCTATACTATTACTAGGGCGGGATATGCTCTGATATACAATTGTTGGCCGAGATGTGCTCTGAAATACTACCTTGAGGGCAGGATATGGTCTGGTATACTACTAGTAGGGTGGATGTGCTCTCTTATACTACTACATGGTATGATGTGAAGTGATATACTACTAGTAGTGCAGAATGTGTTCTGATATACAACTATTAGGGCGGAATATGCTCTGATATACTCTTGGTAGCACATATGCTCTCTGATATACTACTAGTAAGGCAGGATATGCTCATATATACCACTAGTAGGACAGAATATGCTCTGATACACTACCAGCTGGGCAGGACATGCTCCGATATACTACCTGTAAAGTGGGATAGGCTCTGATGTACTCTTGGTAGCATAGATGGGCTCTGATATTCTACCAAGAAGGCAGGTTATGCCCATATATACTACTACTAGGGCGGGATATGCTCTGATATATTCTTGGTGGCAGGATATGCCCTGATATAATACTAGTCGGGCAATATATGCTCTGATATACTACCAGGTGGATAGGATTTGATCTGATATACTATCTGGAGGGAAGGGTATACACTTATATACTACTAGTAGGGCGGAATATTCTCTGAAATTCTACTCGGAGGATAGGATATGCTCTGATATACTATTAGTAGGGCAAACGATGCCCTGATATACTACTAGGTGGGTAGGGTTTGATCTCATATACTACTAGAAGGGAAGGATATGCTCTGATATACTACGAGCAGAGCAGTACATGCTGTGATATACTGCTAGTAGAGGGGAATGCGCTATGATATACTACTAGGAGGGCAGGAGATGCTCCGATATACTCTTGGTGGCATAGATGGGCTTTGATATACTACTAAGGGGCAGGATATGCTGTGATATACTACTAGTAGGGCAGAATATGCTCTTATATACTACCAGAAGGGCAGGATATGCTCTGATATTAAACTAGTAGGACAGGATATTCTCTGATATACTGCAGGTATGGTGGAATATTTCTGATATACTACTAATGAGGCGGAATATGCTCTGTAATACTACCAGCATGGAAGGATTTGCTCTGATATACTGTAGGTATAGGTAGGATATGCTCTGATAAACTACCAGCAGGGCAGGATATGCTCTGATATACTACTAGTAGTGGGATATGTTCGGACATTGGCATTGGTAACGATTCAACAAGAAGACAGCGGGCAACTCTAGCTGCTTTAAGGAGAGATGGTAAAAGGGGTTATTTTAAACGTGGTAAACTTTTTATTGAAGATCGCACTTCTCCGTCATCTACCACTGTCGCTACGCATCTGAAATCGTCATTATCTCTACCAATTCCAGCACCAGCACCAGCAATTAATCAGGTGGATCGTCCAGGCTACTGGAGCACGTCCGAGAGCTCGTTCTCAGGTTGAACATAGCGCACCGATTACCTACGAATAACGGTTAGGCCATGGCTTTCAGATCAGAAAGTAAGATTTATTTTTTGGAATGTACAGGGTCTGAAACTTTTGAATCCAGATTTTGTTAATTATTTGTTATCGTTTGATGTTATTACATATAGAAACTTGGGCTGAAAACGACGGCCAGTTTGATGACAGCTTTCCCGACTTCAGGGCATTTAGGTACATGGCATCAAAAAAGGGCTCACCGTGGTAGATTTGCGGGGGTATTTGTGTCTTAAATACAAGTTATCTGGTCAAATACGTCAAGCGGGTTCATTGTGATGTACAAGACTGTTTTTCTTTTATTCGATGGGTTTATTTTTCATTTTACAAAAGATTTACTTTTTTTGTCAGTACGTATATACCTCCTCAATATTTAACTTTTTACGATGGTATGGGTGTAGAAAATGGTATTGAATTGTTTGAATCTGGTTAACTCGATGTTTAGGAGGTTTGCCCAATGTACACGTTATTGTTTTTGGCGATTTAAATGCAAAAACATGCAGGGAACCTGGTTACATTTTTGATGACAGTCCTTCTTTTATGATCAGTGATGTTTCTAAAGTCATTAACACTTCTGGACGGGCGTTGTTGTCCCTTTACATCTCTTTCAATTTACACATGTTAAACGGTAGGGCTGGGTCGGATAAAAATAACGGGGATTTTACTTGTCTTTCACATGCTGGTGCCAGCGTTATTGATTATATTTTAGTATCCACATCATTGTATTACAATTTGTTAAATTTCAGTATTCCATTACGCATTGAATCAGATCACTTACCACTTACTTTTGACATTATACTCGTACTGAGCCCAACTGTGAATCCCCAAATGGTATAAGTAAATGTATGTGGTCTGTGGACCGTGTCGATGTATTTATGGATATTTTTAAAGAAGAACGTAATAAGGCTGGCCAAAATGTTATCATTGATGACCCAGCCACAGATTTACCACTTTATTAATTTATTTAATGGAGTTTGTGTTTCAACAGCAACGAAATGTAGCATGGTTGGAACTCGGGGGCAAGCTGTCGTCGGCAACCTGCGTGGTTTGATCAGGACTAAGAGTT